ATTTCCAGCTCACTCTGACACTATTAGAAATAAATAGTTTGCATTCGATATAGCGCCTTATCACATTGAAAATCCTCAAAGCACTTCACAAGGAATTAGTGTCAAATGTTATTTGTCGGCAAATGCTGCAGTCATTTGTGGCAGCAAGGTTCAACACATGGCAATGAGGTTAATGGCCAATTAAATCTGGAGGATTGTTGGTCAGAATATTCTTTCCAATTAGTGTTATGTGATCTTTAATGTTCACCTGAACAGGCAAAAGGTACCTTGGTTTAACATCTGATAAGACTCAGGGGACAGTTTTATAACTGATGTTCCACGCTTGCATGAATATCTTGATTTCACAATGTAACTACATCATGGACAAAATTCCATCTGGATCTAACTTTATTCTATTGACCCAGCGTTTCAGAGAATCTGCAATTCGACAAATTGTTAAATTTGGTTTTAACTTTGGAGCCAGTTTCCTGTGGTTCTTAAAATAAATTTATGACTGAAAAACCAACTTCAAAATTAAAGACCGTATTTAAGATAAAAACAGAAATCGTTGGGAGCACTCGGCAGGTCAGGCAGCATCTACGGAGAGAGGAAAGTGAGTTAACGTTTCAGGTCGATGACCTTTCATCAGAACTGCATTTAAGAATTTGGTAGTTCTGGATGTTCTAAAATGCTGCGTTAATACAGGAAATCTGGATTCATAGGGAATAACTACCCATTAATCTGTGCCATAGCTCACCTAATATTTATAAATCAACTTTCTAGTTTATTCCCATAGAACCATAGAAATATGACACAGCAGGAGGCCATTTGACCTATTGTCTTAGTGTTGGTGTTTGGTCCTCCAATGAAGCATCTATTCTGATTCTCCGCAAACCTCTGTTTACCCAGCAGTAAGTACAAACCCAGTTGTTAGTTGATTGCAGATTGCTTTCCAGGGGTAATAATCCCTTCAAAAAAGAATTTGGTCACTTCAATCCATGATTGTTTGTGGGACACTGCTGTGTGCAATTGGCTGTCGCATCTTGCCGACAAAACACTCAGTCGATTCACTTTACAACATATTCTGTGAAGCACTTTGAGACGTCTCAATGACATGATAAGGCGCTATATCAAATGCAAGGATTATCATTATTATAATAAATGCCCAACTGACAATAGTACAAATATTACAATGTATTACAACGAATGCTACAGTGATATTTCACTAACTATATTTTGCTTGTTTGTCTGTCTGGCTGTGTGTGATACACAGAATCTGTCAACTAAGCATCTCAGAATGGTAAAATGGGCGACACATGGCAGATGAGTTTCAATGTGGAGAAATGCGAGGTAATGCATTTTGGTAGAAAGAATGAGGGGCGGCAATATAGGCGGTAATACAATCTTAAGGGGGTAAAAGAACAGCGAGACGTGGGGGGGCAGGTAAATGAATCCTTGAAGGTGGCAGGACAGGGAGATACAGCTGTAAAAAGGGCATATGGGATACAAGGCTTTATAAATAGGGGCACAGAGTACAAGAGTCAGGAGGTGATGATTAACCTATATAAACACTGGTTAGGCCTCAGTTAGAATACTGTGCCCAGTTCTGGGCACCGCACTATAGGAAGGATGTTAAGGCATTGGAAAGGGTACAGAGGGGATTTACGAGGATGGTACCAGGAATGAGGGACCTTAATTATGAGGAAAGGCTGGAGAGGTTAGGATTATTCTCGTTGGAGCAGAGAAGGTTACGAGGAGACCTGATAGAGGTCTACAAAATCATGAGGGGATTTGATAGGTTAGAAAGGGAAAAAACACTGGTGGGTGTGTCAGTGACTCGAGGTCACAGATTCCAAATAGTCTCTAAAAGAAGCCGAGGGGAGAGGTGAGAAGAAATGTTTTCACGCAGCGAGTTGTTCGAATCTGGAACGCATCACCTGAAAGGGCGGTCGAGGCCAATTTGATAACTATTTTTAAAAACACGGTGGACGGGGATTTGAGGAGAATGGGTTTGCAGGTTATGGGGAAAGGGCCGGGGAGTGGGATTGACATTAATTGCTCTATTCAAAGAGCCGGAACAGACTCGATGGGCCGAATGGCTTCTTTTTGTGCTGTACGATTCTATGATTCTATGATTAATAAAAATAGAAGTCGTTGGCAACACTCAGCAGGTCAGGCAGCATCTATGGAGAAAAGGGATTTGAATGTAAGGATACCTCTGGGGCCTTACATTCGCTGCTGAGTATTCCCAACAACTTCTGTTTTTTTATTCCAGTAATACAAGGTCATTGACCTGAAATGTTAAGTCACTTTCCTCTCTCCATAGATGCTGCCTGACCTGCTGAGTATTCCCAGCAACTCCTGTTTTTATTTCAGATTCCCAGCCTTTGCAATATTTTGCCTCATGCAAAATACTGCAAATACGGTCTAAAGGTTAATATATGGGCGTAATCTGAGAGCACATCCCAATACACAAAGATTTGATGGCCATATTTCTAACATCTACCGCCAAATCAATCGCTGTCATGTTTTATTTACATTCTATTTATTGCTTTCTCTTTTATTTTGGAAAATCAACACATCGTGTCCTGTAGTAAACTGACAAAGATGGATGAAATACAATGGTTTCCCACTGAAAACACTCGCACGTCGCAGCTCATCAATGCAAATCTTCACATACCAGGTTCAGAGGGTTTAGTAAAATCACAGCCGTTTTTTTCTACCTACAAATTTCAACTGATTTTAAAACCTCTACGAATGTTTATTAGAGAGTTAAGTAAAAGTGATTTACAATTACAGTTTGAAGTATTGAAATCACATTAAAGATAATGTGATTGGCAGCAGTAATTTTGTTTTGCCCAGCCGGGCGTCTGACACATGTGGAAACCCATCACCAGGCTTAAGAACATCCAAACCAAGCTGAGAATCCCAGAGATAGATTGTTGGAATGGAATGCGCTCTCTCTCTTTCCTTGGACGTATTCTGATTACCTACTTCCGGAAAGAATTAGGTGCAGGTTGCCAAGAGCCAAGGCTTGAGGAACCCAGAGTGTGTGTTGGGGTAACTGCTGGAGGCTAACCAGCTAAAACACTGTCTGGCAAGCTTTCCTGCTGCCTGTCCAGCTAGAACCACTTACATGCTCGGGCTTTGGCTTGCAGGGTTAACAGGAGGTGAGTGGGAGGATTCCCTGGCCCCAGTGGTTGCAGCAGTGAGCAGCGCCATGGTCTGATGTAGGAATAAGCTAGACATTAGATTAAAGACTCGATTCCTGTCCTGGGCTGGATTAGCTGATCTCAGCAGAGATAATAGCGGTGGGAGTGTAGCAATTGAGCACCCATGATGTAGGAGGTGTAGAAATCCCCATTCCCATTCTTACTGTAGATGCTTATTGATGAACGCTGGGAAAAGACCATTTGAGACTTGACTCACAGTCAAATGGTCTAGAGTTTCTCACTATCCCCACTTACAACTGAAGATCACTTGGGTGAGGTCCCAGCACCATGGAATTGTACCATAGCACACATCAGCAGCTTCAGGAATGGAGGTGGGGAAAAAAAAATCTGTAAGGAAGCTACATATTAGTTAAATATCTTTCATTTGCAAGGATAAAGGAAAGTAAATATCTCCCTTATGCAAAGAAAAAGTTTGAAAAAAAATCTTGTCCTGAAGGTGTAGCACAACAACAACAAATTTCATGTGTATAGCGCCTTTCATGTTGGGAGGACGTCCCAAGGCGCTGGACAGTCAGAGATTTGAACCTGAGCTGGTGGGTGGGTTCAGGGAGGGTGGAGGGCAGGGAGGGTAGGGGTAGAAGGGTGGCTGAAGGCACAGTCGAAGAGGAGGTTGTTGAGATGTGCCTTGAAGGAGGCAAGGGAGGGAGCAAGCCAAAGGGAATGTTGGGGATGGAGATCCAGAAGGGGGGGCAGGGCAGAGAGGCTGAAGGCCCGACAGCCGATGGTGGAGTGGGCCGGGCGGGAGACACAGAGCAGGCCAGAAGCTGCTGAGCAGAGTGAGCGAACAGATTGATATGGGGTTAGCAGGTTACAGGGGTAGGAAGTAGCAAGGCCATGGAGGGCCTTGAAGGCAAGGGTGAGGATTTTGAACTCTATTCTCTAGGGGGTAGGGAACCAGTGGAGCCAGGCGAGGGTGGGGGTGATGGGATCATGGAGCCTGGTGCGGGAGAGGTCGTGAGCTGCAGAGTTCCGGATGATCTGCAGCTTGGCCATTAACCTCTGTAACTTAAGAGGTTAATGACCACGTGCCTGTGCATTTACTGAGTGTTGGAGGTGACAGTTTGCTCCTGATCTTATCCTGACTAGTCTGTTAATGGGAACTGACCTTCACCCAGACCATGAGTGGGAGTTGCTCTAAGCTCAGAGGCGAAGAGATCCATCAAAGTCCATTTCCTATTCCCTGGAATGTCACAGCTCAATAGCCAATTTATTAAATCAGCTTCTCACTAAGGCAATTGCTAATGCTTCTCATTGGAACATTAACCCTGGGAAAAAAAATCTGGTTTTAATACTGATTGTTTTTTAAACACAATGAAAATATCGAGGAAAATAAGGTGAAATGATAGAGATAAGTAATATTAATTAACGGCACTGGGTCCTTCCTATTAATACTCTAAACCGATAACGTTAACACGTTTTCTCAAGAACCCACATGAGTTTTTTTTAAATTCCTTGAGGTGGAAATGATATACTTTATCAGGGTTCCCGCAAGCCAAGCTTTGGTATGGCTTGAGACAGGGTCGTGTATAGCAACAGTCTGCATGCCCAAGGCTGACCATTCTCCAGGTCACTCACTAATCGACCCGATTCTAATTGGCGGGAGACATTTTTCCCAGAGTATTGATTGGCCAGAGAGGACCCTGCCCCTGGACTCATTGATTAAAAAGCTTTTTACAACTCAAGTCCCAACTTTGATGCAAGTAAAACGTGAGTGGAGGGTAGAGGTGGCGCAGAAAACTGTCCAGAAGCCTATTGTTCAGAAGTCATCCATTGAGAAGATCTCTGGTAATGGAGGAGCTTGCCAGAGATAGTATCAGCCTCTTGGCTAAACCTGTCTGTCTGGATTCAGGGAAATCTGGATTGTCCTCCTATGGGGCGATTTTTATCCTATTAAAGTCAGCTCTTGGAGCTGGGCTCCTGAATTTCCCCTGGGCCTTCAACAGAGCGGGAGGAATCCACACAGCCATAGCCGTGGAAATGGTGAGTTATTTACAAATGATTGATTTTATAACAATGAAATTCCAACCTTATTAATAATCATTAATAAGATGGATATTATTCTTGGAATTTATTAAAGTGAGACAAATTATTTTGATTCAAATTATTCCCTAAGGAGTATTATGTTCCCTTTGCTATTTAAGCACGATATGAATGTAACACACAGAGAGAGGTTCATAGATACTGGAATTTTACATTCTTTCTGTTTCATTATTTAAACCTTAAAATATTGGTGCAGGGAGACTAAAGAATATTTTTTGCTGTAATTGGACGTGTAGCTTTACTTCTACCTACAACAACAACAGTTTGCATTTATATAGCGCCCTTAACGTGGGGTAGCGTCCCGGAGTGCTTGGAAATTGCCCAAAAATTGAGGCAATACAAACCCAAAGGCTCCAAGGTTCAAACCCAAATCTGATCTCAACCAGTGCAGTGATGGAGCACAGCAATTGGCCTCTGTATCTCTGGGCTTGGGTGAGGTCGACTGACTGCTATCTAGAGTAATGTCTGCTGGAAACTGGATGAGGACAGGGTTGGGCTCAACTGAACTCAGTATGTTAGTGCAGGACACTCAGTGGGTGAAGTTGTATTGGAAGTGATGTTCTCATGACATATTCTTACAGTGTAATAGCACATCTACTGTGTCCACATCCAAGCTGACAAGATCACAGTCTAGTGTAGGAACTTCCCTGCTCACACAGTGTAACACCTCCACCTATCAAAGGAATACATACACATGTTTAGACAGTGTACTAGCATCAGCAAGCATGGAGATGCATCTGCTTCCACAGTGTAATAGCTTCAGCGACTGAGCACGCACCTACTTATACTCAACAATGCTCTGTGGCAGTGAATAAAGCAAACCAGATGTTGGGATGTATCAAAAGATCAATAGCAGCTGAAATAGTGGGTCCTGCCACTGTACAAATCATTGGTGAGACCATACTTAGAGACTGTGTACAGCTCTGGTTGCTGAAGTACAAAAAAGATATTGGAGAAATTGAGAGGAGGGCAACCAAAATGATTGAGGGAATGGAAGGACTGGACTGTGAGGAGCGACTCAGTAAATTGGGCATGTTCACACTGGAAAAGAGAAGATTGAGAAGCAACGTGATTGCTGACTTTAAGACTCTAAAGGGGACAAACAATATAGATTATAGCAGGCTGTTTCAACTAGTCCAGAATAATAAAACCAGAGGACACGGCCTGCGATTGAAGGGGGGCAAATTCAGAACAAATCTACACCAACACTATTTCAGTGAGCAAATAGTGAACCTGTGGAACAGGCTCCCGAGGGAGACGGTTGACGCAGGAAACGTTGATTTCGTCAAACACAGATTAGATAGTTTGGGTTTAGGAAATAACATTATGGGACATAGCACATAGGGAATTCGGGACATATGAGCAGGCGACCACCAGGAAGGTGGAAGGTGGAACTAGATGGACCTTAGTCTTTTTTCATCTAGCATTTCTTATGATTTTACATATTACCCAGTGCGACAGCACCATCTAGTGTAGAAACACACCTGCTTAATCTGTTAATCCACATCCCTATCACCCCAGTCCTTCCCAGGCTCCACAGCCTTCCTGTCACTCACCAACAAATCACTTCACACCCTGGCATCTCCCAACCTGCTCACAACCCACTCCTCTATCTACCCCTTACACTCAGCCGACTCCGGCCTCCTGCTCGTTCCTCATCCCCTCCACTAATTTCAGCAACTGTACTTTTAGCCACGATACCACAACCCTCTGGAACTCCCTGCCTCAATCCCATTGCCTTGCAACAACAACAACAAGATTCCATTTATAGAGCGCCTTTCACGTCGGGAGGACGTCTCAAGGCTTGCACCCTCTTTGTCCGTCTTCACATAACTCCCGAAGACTTTCCTCGTCAACTGTGCTTATGGTCATTTTGCCACTCCCCTCAGCTCGGTGTCAAGTTCTGTCAAGAATATTACTGTAAAGTGAATTGACTGTATGTTTTGTGGGCAAAGTGCAGCAGCCAATTGCGCACAGCAGTGTCCCACAAATAGTTGTGGATTGAGTGCCCAAAATCCTATTTTTTTTTGTAGGGCTTATTACCCCACGGAAAAGCGATCTGCCAACCGACTAACAACTGGGTTCCTACTTACTGCTGGGTAAACAGAGACGTGTGGAGTAAGGAAACTTTTCCCAACGTGTCACCCTGCCGGGAATCGAACCCATGTCCTCTCGCTTGCGAGGCGAGTGCTCTAACCACTGAGCTACAGGACTCCATTTTAAGCATATCAGGGAAACTATTAAACCTGGTTATTCCTCTTATACCATTGTTGCAGGTGTGTGCCCACAGCAGATACTGCTGCGGTACTTTTAAGTTTGCAAATGTTCTGAAGATATTATTTCATTCATAAAATACCGTCTCATTTGAAGTGCTCAAACGACATCTTATCTAAAGTGTTAAAATGCCAGGTCCTTCAGTGGGCAAGGTGTTAGAAAGTTGTGGATTTAAATCTGTTTAATGCTTCATCTTGTTGAAGTTAATAAGTGAATCTCAGGTCTAAATGTATGTTGGAAATAAACAAAGAAGTTGCTGGGAACACTCAGCAGGTGAGGCAGCATCTATGGAGAGAAGGGATTTGAATGTAAGGACCTTTCCGACCCTTCCGAGAGAGGGGTAGGAGAGTGAAATTTCCTTGAGGTGAACTCACCTTGAAATACTGAGCTGTCATTACATCAACTCCAATTCATGATGTTTTCTTGGATTGTCAATTGCTCGGGTCAACAGCTAATTGATGCTGTTAAGTGATTGATTACTCACATATCCTTAGTCGTGTTGTTTCGCCCAAAAATATACAGTCAATTCACTTTAGAGTTTATTCTGTGAAGCGCTTTGAGACATCTTGAAGATATGATAAGACGCAAGGATTAATTAATGCAAGGATTATTATTATTGGTCCATGTGCTGGACATCTGCCTATGCGTGATACATGTTGACATGGATGACAAAAAGTCACATCAGTGTTTTTTTACTAGGCCCCCAGCGCTTGCAATGCATTAAACTTCAGTGTCAGATGTCAACACACTCACCTTCCAGCAGGCAAACTCTGAATAGTGGTCAGGTTCAGAAACAATGGCTAATTTGTCTAACGATCGCATAGGCACTGAGCATAATTATAACTCAACCTCTATCACAGGTGACATCAGTTAACTCAGCACAGACCAGGATCTGATTCTCCGAGCTTCTCAGATTTCAGGCTCAGGACTGGGATAGATGTTGCCTTTTGTCATTGTGTGATCAGGAAAGCATCTCACTCCCCTTTGCAGCAAATTTAAATGTGGAAACAGTGTGAAGTTACATTTCCGATGAATATTTTCCTGCTGATACATTACTATATAAAAGATACAATCACAACTTGTGAAAAATTTACACAGCAAGTTACATTTATGTAATGTCTTTCACATCGTAAAGAAGTCCCAAAATTTAACAGCCTTGGATCTGAATATTCAAGCTGCCTATATTTATGGCTCATGTTATCTTTAGTCATTGGGTATTCAGATACATAGCTTAACAGCCTGGATAAAAAAGGTTCTGGTTGGTAACTGTGACAAATGATCTTGGAGAGAATTGTCTGTGACTTTACAAGCTGTCTGCTGTGGTATTTCAGGTTTCCCTCATCTTCCTCATCAGTGGACTTGTTATTCTTGGTTACTCCTGCTCAATCAGCAATCAGTCGACCTACCAAGGGGTGGTGAAGACAATCTGCGGTTCAGCCATTGGGAACCTCTGTGAAATATGCTTTGTCTTCAACGTTTTCATGATTTCAATAGCATTTCTTGTTGTTGTTGGTGATCAGCTGAGCAAGTGTAAGTATTGATGGCAAATAGACCTCATCAGCCACTTTGTTTTCAATTGAATCAATCGGGTAGGTTGCGTTTCAGAAAGCATTGCAGCCCATTGTATAAAACTGGAGGTTAGGAAATGAAGTGAGAAATGAAACCTGGTCTCACTGAAAAATCTCAAGGAAACGCCTATTTTCAGGTCCTTGCTGAAGATCTTTCTCCTTGACCGCGCCTTTGGTCACCTTCCTCCCCTCCCCCTGGCTCCTCCCCCTCTCCCTGGTTCCTCCCCTCTCCCTGGCTCCTCCCCCTCTCCCTGGTTCCTCCCCTCTCCCTGGCTCCTCCCCCTCCCCCTGGCTCCTCCCCCTCCCCTGGCTCCTCCCCCTCCCCCTGGCTCGGCCCCGGGATCCGTTACTGTAAAGCGCTCTGAGACGCCGTCCGGCGTGGAGGGCACTATATAAATCCAAGTTGTTGTTGGTCAAGTTTGACTCTTGACTGATGTGCTACCACCTGCTTTACTTCGTTTTGCACTTTGTAAGCTCTGTGACCCAAAAGCATGGGCAGCAGAAGTTTAATCAGCTCCCAGCCAGCAGCCTTAACCGCCTCAGACACAAAACTCAGACCTTGTATTTTCTTGCCCAGCCGGGTATCTGACACAGGCAGAAACCCATCACTGGGCTTAAGATGATCCAAACCAAACTGAGAATTCTATGCATCCCACCTACACATGGAAATCACAGAGATAGATTGCTGGAATGGAATGCACTCTCTCTCTCGCACCTCTGTCCCTGGAGGGACACATCCTGCTTACCTAATTCCAAAAGTATCAGGCACAGGTTGGCAAGAGCCAAGTCTTGGGGACCCCAGAGTGTGCGTTGGGGTAACTGCTGGAGTCTAACCAGTTAAAACCGCACAGCTTGATTGATATTACTGTCTGGCCAGCTTTCCCGCTGCTTGTCCACCTTACCCAGTAAGGCTTTGGCTGCAGGGTTAACAGGAGCTGAGTGAGATGACTCTCTGCCCCCAGTGACTGGTCGGCCCTTCCAGGTACTGCTGATGAGCTGGGCTGGACTGTGCTGTCATCAGCAGTGAGTGCCCTGAAATACTGTGGACCGGCCTGGCTCAGGAAACAAACTGGAGACCGTCACGGGAGGGGGATCGATTCCCACATTCCATTGCCAGGCATTTCACCTTGGAGCCATTTCAGCCAAAACGAGACCCCGCTTAAGGAAAGGAATAAAGGAACATGGTCCAAAGTAGTAACTTTCTAGTTTTTAGCTATGTGTAGCTTGTTATAATACATAATTACAAATAATAATCTTTGATGTTGATATAGCACCATATCACGTGGTCAAGATGTCTCAAAGCACTTCACAAGAATAACTGAAAGGTGTAGTGACTGTGTATTTTGTAGACGAACGTGGCAGTCAATTTGCGCACAGCAAATATTAATTGGGGGGGTTGTTGGTGAAACCTTCCCAACTGACATGTTATGCTCTGTCTCAGTGTGTGATTCACTAAACAACAATGAAACAATGTCTGAGGAGCTGGGCCAGTCACGTTCCTGGTATCTGGACCATCGATTGGGGCTCTCCGCTCTCTGTGTCTTGGTGATCTTGCCAATCTCAGTGCCTAAAGAGATCGGCTTCCAGAAGTGCACCAGGTAAGATTGGCTGTAGGTAGACCTTCAGAGAGGTTCTTCTTTGGAACTTTATCCCACAGTCCCTCCACCTCACCTCTTCCATCCCCGCTTTAAGACATCCCTCGTTCCCAACCCTTCACCAGCTCAGGCAGCCAATCAGCTGGATAAAGCTCATTGAGACGTCTTTCTGACAGGAAAGTACCAAACATAGCCACGAACAGGAGCTGAGGTTCTGACAAAAGGTCATCGTCCTGAAACGTTAACTCACTTTTCTCTCTCCATAGACTACCTGCCCTGCTGAGTATTCCCAGCCACTTCTGTTTTTATTTTGGGAGCTGAGGCAGTGGCACTGTTTTCAACTTTCTAGAAATCTATTCCTCAGGAAATGTTTAATCTATCCTCACTTTACAACGTCTTTTGAGCTGTACCATTGTCAGCTAAACGACGCTAATTGTCAAAAAGTATTAATTAATATGATGAATGTATTAATTAAAAGAACCTTAGTTTTGTAGTTTCTTTAATCAATTGTGCAGCTGAGCTTCTAAACTCCTGCAGGATATGCATTTATCAAAGGGTACACACACAAAAAAGTGGGATGCACCATCGCAATAAGTCACGATGTCTTAGCACACAGAGATAAATAGCAGTGTTTTCACCTGCCCTTGAAACTTGCCCTTGAAAAGACATACATTTATGGCTATGAGGGAAAAATAATTCTGTACTTAAAGTAACGAGCCAATGTTATGCATTGAACATGCATTCATTTCTCTTGTACATTCTTTATAAATCTACACGCCTGCATCTTCTAAGATGAGTTTTGAGAATGTTAGAGGCTAATCTAACATCCGTAAAAGAACAGTTGTCTCACGGTCAAGAGGGATGGAATTCACAGAGTAACCTTCCATTAAGCCATAACTAAACAGGAATTAAGATTTTGATGGTGATAAGGTATTTTATAATCCCCAAACAAAATCCCTCTGGAATATCTCACTTGAGCACAATTGGAACTTGAAAACTTGATCCTTCTAATTTTATTTAAATCCTTTAAAGTAATAAACTATTTGAACATATCAGATAATTTAATTAATCCATGACTTTTTTTAACAACAGAAATATACAAATATTATAATATTGTAATGAACTTATTCATNAAAAAATTGTTATATATAAGTTTTTGAAAAGTGTGACATGCCTATCTGATAACACCAATGTAAGAGAGAGAGTATAATCTATCATAATGTGACACACTATCACACACACAGCACAGAAACCATTAAGTCTAGTCTAATCCACTCTCCCGCTCCCTCCCCCAAATCTTGTAATATCCCTTTTTTAAACATCTATTGAATTCCCTTTATAATAACAATAATATTAGTAATCCTTGCATTTGATATAGTGCCTTATCCCGTCTTCGAGATATCTCAAAGCATTTCACAGAATATACTGTAAAGTGAATTGACTATGTCTTTTGTGGGCAAAATCATAAGCTGTTTATGAATTCCACCTCAACAAATATTTGTGACAGAGAATTCTACAGGTTTGCCTATCCTGCAAACAGTGCAGCAGAAACCAAAACTCCCACTCACTGAAGCTGCTCTCCAGAGGGAGAGGGGGAGAGAGGCATGATAACCAGTGTACATTGGGGCTGTAAACTATGAACTAAAGAGTAATAAGCCTTCCTTTTGGCTACTGTTAGCTGCATGAATTAGCGTGAAGGAGAGGAGAGGAGAAAATCAGAGGAGGGGAATCATAGTATGAATGCAGTTAAGATTTATAAAACAGAACAAACTGACTAACAGCTCAGAGGCTGAAAGCACTGTCCAATTAGTGAATGTTATAGAGCAGGGAGACCCAGGTGCAGTATTAATTGATAATTTTAAACATGAGAAGCAAAGAAGGTGGCACAATTGGCTTCAATATTGTTGCAGTAGAGAGGGCAATATCAGTCCTTGCTGGAAACCTGTGTGTATGGCTGCGTATATGGCAGATATGAACAGGATCAGTGACCATTCATTCTTTTCCAGACCTCCTCTTAGAATCATAAAATCATAGAATATTACAGCACAAAAGGAGGCCATTCGGCCCATCGTGTCGGTGTCGGCTCTTTGGAAGAGCTTCTCAATCAGTCCCATTCCCCCACTCTTTCCCCATATCCTTGCAAGTTTTTCTTTTCCAAGTAACTATCCAATTCCCTTTTGAAAGTTGGTCGAATCTGTTTCATCAGTCTTTCAGGCCATGCATTCCAGACCGTAACAAGTCTCTGTGTAAAAAGAACTTTCTCCTCATCTCCCCTTTGGTTCTTTCGCCAATTACCTTAAATCTATGTCCCCTGGTTACCAACCCACCTGCCAGTGGAAACAGTTTCTTCCAATCCAATCTATCAAAACCCCTCATAAGTTCTCCAGATGCACCCAGGAAAGTGTGCATCTGGGGATTTGGGATGAGGACAGAAATTAGCTCAACTTTGATAATACACATAGTCAAATTACTCTCTAAACTGTCTAGGCTAACAGAATCATAGTAATTAATAATAATTAATAGTAATTAATAATTAATTAATAATAATCTTAACACAAAGAATGGACAAGTGGATAAGGTACTAGATGCTTGTTTCTACTTGTGTAAACATCCTCTAGCCTTTAGGAGATGAAGGCAGGAAAGCAAGAGGCAGGATGTTTTAAAGTTATAATAATAATCCTTGCATTTGATATCACGCCTTATCACAAAATGAGACACATTGAATTGAATTGACTATATTTTGTGGCGAAATGCGGCAGTCAATCACGCACAGTAATGTCCACAAACAGACATGGAGAGTGTGACCAATTACAAAAAATGAAGCTATTCGTTTTGTGGCTTATACTGAATTCAAACACACTTCATCCCAGGAAATGAAAATTTGCAGTTATATAGCTCGTCTGCATAACATTTCAATACCTTTTCCCTCATCGTCGATCTCTTGTCCTTTTGCTCAGTGTATTAGGTACGTTTGCTGCCAGCTATTTGACTATTGTGGTTGTGATCAAGTTCTACCTGATGGAGGATTCCACGTTAATTGGACAACAGCATCACAACCCCAGGTCAGTGTCCGAGTCTAGTGAGATACAGTCAGTTAACAGAGAATAGGTGCGAAGGGGGATAATCTGTCACTGGCAAAACTGTTCATCTCTAGGAGAGTTCTTCATCTGAATTGTGACACCAATGGTATACATATGCTATAAGTGTTCATTCTCAGCCCTTTCTTGGATTTCTTGTCTTTTATCATCATTATCATCATAATAATAATATACCGCTCCTTATCACATCTTCGAGACGTCTCAAAGCGCTTCACAGGATATACTGTGGGTGAACCTTGGCAGCCAATTGCGCACAGCAATGTCCCCCAAACAGTCGTGGATTGTGTGACTGAATTACTATACATTTTGTAACATTAATAATATTATTAATAATGATAATCCTAGCATTTCATACAGGGCTTTATCACAGGCGTGTGGAGTAAGGAAACTTGCCTATGGTTTCAACCCGCCAGGACAATAATCAACAACAACAACTTGTATTTACACAGTGCCCCTCACGCAAGGACAAGTCCCAGAGTGTTTGACAGTGGTGGTGCACGACGCTGAGGTGGGAGGAGGGGGGAGCGGGAGGTGACCGTAAGCATGATTGTAGAGGCGCAACCTGAAGATGTTACATTTGGTGAGAGGGTGGGTAACCCGAGGACACCGACTTAAAATAGTTGTTAAAATAAACAGAGGGGAGGTGAGGAGATATGTTTTTGCACAGAGAGTTGACCTGGTGATCACCCGGGGTCTCACCATCTCAGACATCACCATCATCAACAAAGCTATTACGGACCACCACTTCATCTCCCTAAACACCTCAGTACCCCTTCCCCTTTCCCAACCCTCTACCATCACATACCATCCATGGAAAAAAATTTCCTCCCTCTCCCTCTCCACTGCCCTGGAGTCATCTGAACTCTTACACCTCTGGCCCTCCCTGACCGATCTCCCCTCCTCGCTCTACCTTCTGGCCCCTCTCCTGTCCGACATCATCAACCTCTCCTTGTCCACCGGTTCAGTTCCCACCCCCCTAAAAACAGCCGTCATCATGCCCATCCTGAAAAAAACCTTCCCTGGACCCATCCCTCCTCTCCAGCTACTGCCCCATCTCTAACCTCCCATTCCTCTCCAAGGTCCTTGAACGAGTCGTCGCGTCCCAGCTCCGCTCCTTTCTCTCTCGCCATTCCCTCTTTGAACCTCTCCAATCCGGCTTCCGCTCTGCCCACAGCACGGAAACAGCCGTGGTCACAGTCACTAATAACATTCTGAACATCTGTGATCAGGGCTCCCACTGCCTCCTTGTCCTCCTCGACCTCTCTGTCACCTTCGACAATGTCGCCCACTCCATCCTCATACACCACCTCTCCTTTTTACTTAATCTTCACAGACCTGCCCTTGCCTGGATTGATTCCTATCTCTCTCACCGTCTCCACTTTGTTGCCTCTAACGGTTTCTCCTCCAGGACCACTGCTGTCCTGACAGACTGCCTGTTGGACATCAAGTCCTGGATGAGGGCAAATTTCCTACAGTTGAACGTGAACAAGACTGAGGCCCTCCTGATTGTCTCGCACCAGCGCCTCAGCATCTCAGGCTCTGGCAGCATCAACCTCCATGGTTGCACACTTCAACTCACCAGCCAGTCAGGAACCTGGGGGTCTTGTTCAACCCTCAATTGTCTTTTCTTCCCCACATCCAAGCCATGACCCACTCTGCCTTCCCTCACCTCCGTAACATCAACCGACTCCACCACTACCTCACCCCTCAGGCCACTGAAACTCTTGTTCCTGCCTTCATCACCTCCAGGCCCTGCTTGTCGGCCTTCCCAACTCCTCCCTCCACAGGTGGCAGATAATCCATATCCTCTCCTGCACCAAACTCCGTGACCCCATCTCCCCCATTCTCGCCCAACTCCATTGGCTCCCTATCCTTCAGAGGATCCATTTCAACATCCTGGTCCACACCTACAAAGCCCTCTATGGCCTCGCCCCATCCTAGGCACCACTAATTATAGCAGATATTTCAATATTTGATGAATTTCTCACCTATTCTGAACACTTTAATTTATGTAGATAATTATTTGGAGAGGACAATTTTGCAGGACTATGGGGAGAGAGCGGGGGAGTGGGGTTGATCAGGGCTATGGGGAGAGAGTGGGGGAGAGAGCGGGGGAGTGGGGTTGATCAGGGCTATGGGGAGAGAGCGGGGGAGTGGGGTCGATCAGAGCTATGGGGAGAGAGTGGGGGAGAGAGCGGGGGAGTGGGGTCGATCAGGGCTATGGGGAGAGAGCGGGGGAGTGGGGTCGATCTGGGTAATGTACGGGTGTGTATCAGCTAAGGACACAATTAGGCTGACTAAACTTCACTGCTTGGGCCACACACCGGCAGCTGCTGCACATGGAACTGAGGCCTTGCATAAATCAGATAACTGAGAGAGTTAAAATTCAATAAAATTCTATTTAGTTCTGAAGTGACAGCAATAACTGGAAAATCAGCTTACGTCGGTCGCACTCTCGCCTCTGCGTCAGAAGGGTATAGGTTCAAAAATGTCAGGACTTTGAATCTCCAACACAGTGCTGGAGGTGCCTTCTTTGTGGTGGATTTGGACACGACGTTAAACTGAGGACCTGCTTGTCTGTTCAGCTAGACGTTGAAAAATCCCATGACACTATTAGAAGAAGGAAGGGAGTTTCTCTTATCCTGGCCAACAATTCCCCCAATTAAAATTGGTCATTTACTTGGGGGACATTGTTGCGCACAAATTGGTTGCTGCATTTGTCCTCAAAATACACAGTTAGAACACTTTATGCTGCAAAGTATTTTGAGATGTTCCCCTGATGTGAGTGGTGCTAAATCAAGTGTAAGGATTATTATATATCCACAGTGAGCAACAGATCCCCAGTTAATCTAACGCTTATAAAGCATGAATAGTTTATAAAGCATGAATCTATCTGTCTTCTAACTGGGATTATTTATTTTTCTTCTAGTGTCTCATCATGGACTGCTTTGTTCAGTGTTGTACCAACAATCTGTTTTGGCTTCCAGGTAGGAGAGCAGTTATATGTTTTTTTCCTTTGGGCTAACCAAGCAATGTTAACGTAAAGGGCCAAATAGGGAGTGAAAACCTGAGTGAGATTTCAGTATATCCTCGCAAATAACAATATTAGTCACTAACTTGATGTAAAGAAACACAATTTCAACATGTTTTGTATCTTCATAGAATCACAGAATCTTACGTACAAAAGGAGGCCATTCGGCCCATCGAGCCTGTGCCAGCTCTTTGAAAGAGCTACCAACTAGTTCCACTCCCCCGCTCTTACCCCATAGCCCTGCAAATGTTTCCCTTTTCAAGTACCTATCCAATTCGCTTTTGAAAGCTGCTATCAAATCTGATTCCACTGCAGATTTCAGGCAGTGCATCTCAGGCTAATACACAGGAATATTGCAATACACTACATCACAGAGGGATGGCATCTAGGTCTGTGTTGCAATTCCCCACATAGTGATTTTCTCTACTTTACAGTTTAATCATTCCACCCAGAGGTAGTTGGCCAGATGAAAGTCATGTGAAGTGACAGCAATAACTGGAAAATCAGCTTACGTGGGGCTTAGTCGGTAGCACTCTCGCCTCTGGAGTCAGAAGGGAATTGGTTAAAAAATGTCAGGATGAAAGTTATGCATCCTCCCACAGGAGCAACGTTCTACGATTATTTTAAGAGAGCCTTTGAATTCCCCCAGTGAAGATCTCATTGTGTGTTTGATTTCAGAATGCAAAGGCTTTGAGAAGGATGGTGTGAAGTTTGAGATTCTAAGAAAAACAAATGGGGTATTGGTTCCTATTGTTGGAGATATAGACATTCTTAGCAGGCATTGAGGCATTGTCAACTACTCTGACTGGCATCCATCCCAACCAGATGGCAATGCTTAAAGGGACACCATCTTCATGAAAAAAGCATTGTTTTTTTTGACTGAATCCAAATACAAACTACTTGGGTATAAATCACATCAGTAGTGGTATCATTGTAGAAAGAATGGGATAGAGAAACAGAACTAATGTGGGCAATCAGACTATTCAGCCTACTCCACTACTACATCAGTTCCTGCTAGCTCTTTCATCTCCAGCATTACAATGCTCTGGAACACAACCTTGCATGAGGGGTGCTCTATAAATGCAACCTGTTGTTGTTAACAGCAATATCACTACAACTCGTAGCAGATCCTGATCTGAATTGAATGAAGTTGTGTTTCCCACATGTTGATTTGAATCGTCTTATTTGTGTTTCAGTGCCATGAGGCAAGCGTTGCCATCTACAGCAGCATGCAGAACAGGAAGCTGTCTCACTGGATTTGGGTGTCCATTGTCTCGATGATATTTTGTCTTTTCATTTACTCCATCACTGGTAAAAGCAGGCAATGTGATATGCAAAAGAGATTTTCGGCTTTGATGGATAGAAATATAGAAACAGGAGGAGGCCATTCAGCCCTTTTTATAAGATTATGGCTCATCTGTACTTCAAGTCCAATTACCTGCCCTTGCCCCATATCCCTTGATACCCTGACCTAACAAACATCTACCCACCTCAGTGTTGGAGATGTGAATGGATCCAGCCATAATCCACAGCCTTTTTTAGTTTTTAAGATGTAAAGTGTGGGGACAAATAATCTCTCATGCAACCAATTACAGCAGATATTATCAATATTTGATGAATTTCTCACCTTCTATTCTGAAAAGTTTAATTTATGTGGATAATTATTTGGGGAGGACAAGTTTGCAAGGCTATGGGGAGAGAGCGGGGGAATGGGGTTGATCAGGGCTATGGGGAGAGAGCGGGGGAGTGGGGTTGATCAGGGCTATGGGGAGAGAGCGGGGGAGTGGGGTTGATCAGGGCTATGGGGAGAGAGCGGGGGAGTGGGGTTGATCAGGGCTATGGGGAGAGAGCGGGGGAGTGGGGTTGATCAGGGCTATGGGGAGAGAGCGGGGGAGTGGTATTGATCAGGGCTGTGGGGAGAGAGCGGGGGAGTGGGGTTGATCAGGGCTATGGGGGAGAGAGTGGGGGAGGTGGGTTGATCAGGGCTATGGGGAGAGAGTGGGGGAGTGGGGTTGATCAGGGCTATGGGGAGAGAGTGGGGGAATGGGGCTGATTTGGAAGCTCTTTTCAAAGAGCCGGCATGGACTCGATGGGCTGTATAATCTATGATTCTAGGATTTTAACACTGAGATATTGTTTCTGCTCAATGATCAATGGTTTATGTGAACAGGTTGAAAAGATTTGCATTAGAACTTGATTTTCTTTTCCTGTGTGAACAGTAAACAGTCAGTGTGAGAAGTTTCTCTATGTTGCTTCTGCAGCTAATTAGTCATCTTATTTGTACTGTGGCACTGTGAACCCACCTGTCTCAGGAACCATACTAGAGACCACCACAGAGGGCTGACTCACTTCTGGTATTCCTTTGCCAGACATGTCACCACGGAGTCAGTTCAGCTCCAAGGAGACCCCGCTTACCTCCTGCCCAAGGAGGGTAGTCAATCCAAGGCTCTTCACTTGTTTATTGTGATCGTGTCGCTAGGAAGGGGAGAATCATGGGCTTTATGTTTGTTTCTGGGTAGTGAGTGTGACTTTAACTGCCTCAATATAAAATGTATGGAGGGCTTATACTACTGAAAAGAAAAATATCTCTATAAACTGATTTTCTCAGGATTCTATGGATATCTAACATTTGGTACAGATGTTGAAGCAGATATTCTGATGTCGTACCCGGAAAACGACATCCTTATCATAATTGGGAGGCTGCTATTTGGAATCTCTATCATCACCATCTATCCCATCATTCTTCTTTTGGGAAGGTAATGTTAAGGTTTTTAAAATTATTTGTGTGAACGGTTGAGCTCATTCGGTGAGGGATGTCTCTGTTGTGAAATAAATGTTTCTACTCTGTGGTACACTCTCCAAATCGAACTTTTCCAGATCAGATACAGCACAGTTGGGCCTTCAGCCTCTCGGCCACCAACCTTTGGATCTCCATCTCACAGTCCCCTTTGCCTCACTCCTTCCCTTGCCTCCTTCAAGACCTTCCTCTTCAACTGTGCCTTCGGTCACCCTCCTCCCCCTACCCTCCCTGCCCTCCACCCCTCCTGATCCCATCCCCCAGCTCAGGATCCAAATCCCTGACTGTCCAGTATGTTGGGATGTCCTCCCAACATGAAAGGCGCTGTGTAAATGTGATTTGTTGTTGTTGTTGTGTTAGATACAGCGGAAACCTTATCACTGTTTCATCTAACATTCCCAGGTAACGTATGAAATAATAATAATCTTTGCAATTCCATGAAACACCTTAGCATGTCACTAAAATGTCTCAATGTCTTTGATCTGGATTATTTTTTGACAAACAACAGCAAGTGTCAAGTAAAGGTTTGCCAATGTTTAATCTCAACACTGGACCAACAGATCATGAGACATTGGGCACTCATTGTCTAGGCTTGGCCCCGATAAATGTCGATCAGTGTTAAGGTGTAAATGTTGGCTACTGACCATGTCCACAGTGTGAGTCAGCCCCTTTTTGGAAGAGGAAGGGAAAAAATGGAGAACAGCAAATGTGGATAAAAGAAGCACAGAATTCACTGTTGCCAAGTATCACAAATGTAAAAGAGAGAAAATCTTACCCTGCAGGCATAATGGACTATCAGCACATTCATGAAAAGGATCTCGAGAATGTATAATAAGAGAAGAGGAACCCTTCGTGGTTTGGTCCAAATCCAATCTCATATTCTTCTCATACACTAGGGGCCTGAAACCCTGAGCTAGATAGCTCAATAAACAAATTCAAATTGCTTCCTCCCTGCTTGCTGTGTGTCGAGAGATATAACTGAGCTCCTGATGCTCTCCCCCAGGTCTGTGATTCAGGAACTGTGGGTGAAGCACAGGCGCCGGTACATTGTGATCACGGTGGCCTATGAGAAGTGGCTGCGAGTCCTGCTGACGGTGATTTGGATCTCAGTCACGCTGGCGGTGGCTGTCTTTGTCCCAGATATCAGCGAGGTCATCAGCCTGATTGGAGGAATCAGTGCCTTCTTCATCTTTATCTTTCCAGGTACGGAAATCAGCTTAATGTCAGTGTGATTGTCATTGGATCTGTGTGGGTGTGTGTGTGTAGGCACACATGTCTGTGTAACCAACCAGAATGCTACCAGGGATGAGGGACTTCAGTTATGTGGAGAGACTAGAGAGGATAGGACTGTCCTCCTTAGAGAAGTATGTGAAGGGGAGATTTAATAGAGGTGTTCAAAATTATGAGGGGTTTTGATAGGGTAGATCAGGAGAAACTGTTTCCTCAGGCGGGTGGATCTACCAGAGTACATGGATTTAAGATAATTAGCAGAAGAACCAGAGGGGAGAGAAGGAGATTTTTTTTACCCAGAGAGTTATTACGGTCTGGAATAATAATAATAATAATAATCCTTGCATTTGATACAGCGCTTTTCACGTCGGGAGGACGTCCCAAAGCGCTTCACAGAACACACTGTAAAGTGAATTGACTGTATATTTGTGGGCGAACGCGGCAGCCAATTGCGCACAGAAATGTCCTACAAACAGTCGTAGATTGAAAATGACCAATTTATTATTGTTTTTGGTTTTGGAGGGATTATTGTTAGGCTCTGTGTGCAGTAAGGAAACTTGCCCAAGGTTTCGCCCTCTGCCTGGAATTGAACTCAGGTCTCTCGCTTGCAAAGTGAGTGCTCTAACCACTGAGCTACAGGACTCCATTAAGACTAATTTGGGGAGTAAGTACCTCCAAGCCTGTCAAAGGCATTTAGCTTAACAGATCTTTAACTTGAGAACATTATCAAAAACATTGACTCATATCTTCAAATGGACCACTGCACAAAATCTCAAAGTACACTGCCTGAAAGGAAACAGATTCGATAATAGCTTTCGAAAGGGGAATTAGATAGGTATTTAAAAAGGAAAAGTTTGCAGGGCTATGTGGTGGGAGTGAGACTGATTGGGTAGCTGTTTCAAAGAGCCGGCACTGGGACGATGGGCCAAATGGCCTCCTTCTATGCTGTAAGATTCTGTTATTGTTCACCTGTTTTACTGGCCTATTACTTCTTACTCCTTTGCTCCACCATTGTGTTCTGAGCCCACAGTCACAGTGCTCCGGTTCTCAGGAACTCACTTCCCAAACCACTTTACTTTGTGACTTCTCACCAAGTCTTCAAAAACATTCCCCAAATCTATCTCTTTGACGATGCCTTTGGTCAAAATCTTTCAATATGTTGTTTTCCCTCACACTGTCAACCACTATAGTTTTCATGTGGCTTGAGATTTCTTTTATGTGTAAGGCTCTGTATAAATGCAAGTTGTAGGATATACGCAGAACAGACTGACTCCCAGATAAAATCTTTATTACTAAGTTAACTCTCAGAAAAGGCTGGTACAAATATTTATTGAAGAAATGGATTGTGGTTATTGGGATATTAAAAGATGGAGAGAGACACCAATTTGGGTTCCTGTAGTGTAGTTAGAGCCCTCGCCTCGCGAGCGAGAGGACCTGGGTTCGATTCCCGGGCAGGGTGAAACGTTGGGCAAGTTTCCTCACTGCACACACACGCCTCTGTTTACCCAGCAATAAATAGAAAGTCAGTCGTTACTCGATTAGCAGATTGCTTTTCTGGGGGTAATAATCCCTTCCAAAAAAAATTATAATTTGATCACTCAATCCTCGACTTGTTTGTGGGACGCTGCACTGTGAGCAATTGGCTGCCGAGTTTCGCCCACAAAACTATACAGTCCATTCGCTCTACAGTACATTCTGTGAAATGCATTGAGACGTCTCAAAGATATGATAAGGCGCTATAGAAAATGCAAGGATTATTATTATTTAATGGGTAGGATGGCGTGTGTCCTCCAACTGGGTATTGAGAATGAAAGATGGATTGATTCTGGAGCTCTGTTCTGTGAGTATGAGAATCAAATAAGTGTGGAGAGGTTGGCAAGACAAATTAATGATAGAGATGTTCCGCATAGATTGTGAAACAGTGATCTTAATGATTGAATGTCTTATCTCAATCCAACTAATCCTCTGTGACATTTTTAATGAAGCATTAGCCTGCGGGTTGAGGAGGGAGAGGCTAGTTGAGATGATGAACAGATGCTGCTAAAAAGAGAATTACACAACTGAAATAATCCAGTTTAAAGAATTTGGGACCTTTGAGGAAAGTGTTTTATCTTACTATAATAATAATCTGTGCATTTGATATAGCATTTTTCACTGTAAAGTCATTTGACTGAATATTTGTGGGTGAAATGTGGCAGCCAATCGCATACAGCAGTGACCCACAAACAGTGGTGGATTGAAGTGACCAATTTATTTTTTTTTTCTTGAGGCGTGTGGAGTAAGGAAACTTGCCCAAGGTTTCATCCTGCCAGGCCGGGAATCGATCCCAGGCCTCTCGCTTGCAAGCCAAGTGCTGTAACCATTGAGCAAGAAGACTCCATCTTGTTGCCTCACTACAACAATTGACATTCTCTATCCTCTCTCCATTCTTTGCTCTCTGCCAGTCAATGCAAGGGATGAAATGGAACAAAATGCTACAACTCTGTCTTTGATCAACATCTTATTTCCCTGCATTGCAAGGTGTTGTCATTGTCTGTTCTCTCCTCTATCTCTCGCAGATTGGTTTGGGTGAAGAAGACCATTTTGATCTCATGCTTCCAGAATTCCCACCCTACTGGTTTCCCATCACAGGATCATTTGAAAAAAAATTGAGTATCTTTGCCTCAACCAATCTTCCTGATATCCTGTTCTATTACCTTTTGGATAAAAATATATTTCCTGGTGGCCCTTCCAATTGGCCTTTGCAACGTCCGCTTGTTTTACTGTTGTATTATGCCCGAATTGTATTGATTTATTTTAGTATCGATTAAAATTTTAGCTACCTTTATAAGATGCCCTCTGACATGTCTCCTTTCAAGACTGAAGAGCCCTAGATTGTCTAATCATTGCTCTAGCACAGGGCACTATCTTGGAATACTCAGTGGGTCAGGCGACATCTATGGAGAGAGGAATGTTAACGTTTCAGGTTAGGGTCCTTACATTCAAATCCCTTCTCTCCATAGATGCTGCCTGACCTGCTGAGCGTTCCCAGCGATTTATGTTTTTATTTGAGATTTCCAGCATCTGCAGTGTTTTGCCTTGGTTTTTGGGATTATCTTGTCGCTCTGCACAACCTGGACAGCCCCCTTATTTTGCGACAGCCAGGACTGCATTCAGTACTCTAGGCGTGGCCTAGAGCCAAGAGCACAGCATAGCTTGAGTATAACTTCTGGGGTTCTGAACTCAACTGATTTAGCAACATAGGCCAGCATCCTGTTTGCCTTGTTTATTGCTGCCTCTCACTGTTTTGACATGTTGAGCAATGAGTCAACCAACACCTCCAAGATAACTTTCAGCTTCCCCCTTTGGCTGGTTCTAGCCCATCCATGGAATAGTACATGCGTTTCCTATTCTTACTGCTTATATGTATTGCATTTATCTGTATTGAACTTCATTTGCCAGTTATCGACACATGTGCATACCGTATATAATAATAATAATCCATGCATTCGATATAGTGCCTTATCATGTCATTGAGACATTTCAAAGCGCTTCACAGAATATACTGTAAAGCGTAGTGACTGTGTGTTTTTGTGGGCTGATGACTGGCAGATGAAGGTTAGGGGTCGGCATTGTTTACCCTCTCTATCTCAGCAGAGATTGACATGGTCTATGTTCTCCTCTGCCTCTCTGAAGGGGGTTGTTTTTGCCTTTGCTGTCACAACTATGCCAAAGCCCTGCTTGTCAGCCTTCCCAACTCTTCCCTCCATAGGCTGCAGATTATCCAGAACTCTGCAGCTCTTGGCCTCTCCCGCACCAGGCTCCGTGACCCCCTCACCCCCATCCTCGCCCAGCTCCACTGGCTTCCCATCCCTCAGAAGATCGAGTTTAAAATTCTTGTCCTCACCTTCAAAGCACTCCATGGCCTTACCCGCTCCTACCTCTCCGACCAGCTAACCCCTTATCAACCTGTCAGCTCCCTCTGCTCAATAGGCTCAGGCCTGCTCCATGTCCCCAACCCGGCCCACCCCACCATCAGCGGTCGGGCCTTCAACCTTTCTACCGCCACCCTCAGGAACTCCATTCCCCACATTCCCTTCACCTCACTCCCTGCCTTGCCTTCCTCAAGGCATGCCTCAAGACTCTCTGACAGTGCCTACGACTACCCTCCTACCCTCTCTGCCCTCCACCCTCCCTGATGCCAACCCCGCCACCCCTAGCTCAGGTCCTAATCCCTGACTGGTCAGCTTCTTGGGACATCCTCCCGATGTGAAAGACACTTTACGAATCTCATTTTGTATTTTGTATTTGTGTTGTCTTTCTGTAGAGATCAGCAATGTTTAATTTTTCCTGGAATTTCTTGTTGATTGTCTGTTAGTCTCTCATTCAATATTTCAATGAGAACTGATACCCTGGCTAATTGGCATCTTGTCTCTTTCCTCTCGCAGGACTTTGCCTAGTGTTCGCAATGCAAACAGAACCAGTCTCTCCCCGAGCAAGGTAACAAAGCATGAGAAATGTGGGATCAATAAGACCAAATGCTATCTCCAAGCATTTTGAAAAAAAGCTTTAAAAAGCTTTTCTTGAGAGTTATGAAATGGTGATTTATCTGTCTTTTTGAAAGCTTATGTCTCCTTTTGTAGTCCGAGTAGTTTATCTCAGAGTCATGGGATAATTTTTTTGTTTGCCCAGCCAGGTGTCTGACACATGCAGAAACCCATCACTGTGCTTAAGAGGATCCAAACCAAGCTGAGAATTTCATCCATCCCACACACACATGGAAATCTCAGAGATAGATTGTTGGAATGGAATGCATTCTCTCTCTCTCTCTCTCTCTGGAGGGACACAACCTGCTGACCAAATTCTGGAAAATATTATGAGTAGGTTGGCAATAGCCAAGGCTTGGGGACCCAAGAGTATGCTTTCCCGCTACCTGTCCATCTAGGACCATCCTACCCGTTAGAGCTTTGGCTTGTAGAGTTAGCAGGAGCTGAGTAGGATGGCTCCCTGCCTAATGGGAGCTTGGCAGACAGTGCTCTCTCAATGGCAAGCTGTGTGGGTTTACCTGGTTAGACTCCAGCAGTTACCCCAACGCATACTCTGGGGTCCTCAAGCCTTGGCTCAAGCCAAACTGCGTCCAATTAGATAAACAGGTGTGTCCCTACAGGGAGAGTGTGTTCATTCCACTCCAGACACAGGGAAATCTGCATGTGTGAGTGGCACACATATGTAGAACTCTGTCTGGTTTTGATAATCTTCAGCAGGTGATTGGTTCCACATGGGTCAAAAACCTGACTGATCAAAAAAAGCTTTGATTTAAATTTCAAGTGTTGGGTGGTACAAGACCTGGACTTCTTGGTTTGGTTCACTAGATGGCAATGTTGCTCCCCTAAAACCTTTTAGTAACAAAAGTGACAGAAATGTTTTAACTGGATGTAGAGATACGCCAACATATATCATTGTATTTCTCTACAAATACCACATTACCCAAAACAGCCTATATGTCAGCCTGACTCAGTTGGTTCTGTCTCTCACCTCTGAGTCAGAAGGTGCATTCAAGCCACACATTGGAACTTGTAACTCGTATAGTCTGATCTGACACTCCAACGCAGTGCTGGGGGAGCGCAGCATTGTTGGAGGTGCCTTCCTTTAGGTGAGACGTTACACCGAGGCTCTTTAAACAGTTAAATCTGTTCGGGTGAATATTAAAGATCACATGCCATTATTGCTCCTCCCAGGGTAAAAGATAATGTATCAAATAAATGTAAGTAGACCTCAGTCGCTATAGAAAGTGTCTATAAATGGGCACGTTCTGGGGCAGTGATATCTTGGCTCACAGGCATCTCCAAATCTATATTTTAACCTTTCTAAATCGCTCGTTTCTGCTTAAAATCAAATTCCTTTTCAACTGCTCTGGGTCTCGCTGCTCAATACAGATTGCCAAACGTTTGCCTGAAACTGATTTGAAATCACCTCCTTCAGCTCCATCGAGCTCAGGGCATCTTCTGCCTCTTTGAATAATTTGAATAATTTCAACGATTCACGTTTTTGAGACTTGTTGTGAAAGCGCTTCACAGAGTGTATAAGTAAATGGATTGACCGGGTATTTTGTTGGCAGAATGCAGCAGCCAATTGCGTCATGGATTGAGTGACAACATTATTGTTATTTTTATTTGTTAATTTTTTGACGAGATTATTAACCCCCGGAAAGTGATCTGCCAATGGACTAACAAACAGGTTTCTACTTACTGCTAGGTAAACAGGTGTGTGGAGTAAGGAACCTTACATAAGGTTTCTCCCCATCCGGGAATCAAACCCGGGTCCTCTCGCTTTGCAAGACGAGCGCGCTAACTGCTACATTATATTTGCTGACATTTGTATATTTCTCCCTCCCAGGTCCTGCTTGATTTTCTGGGGAACCCTCACAATCCTGTGTGGAGTCTTCATCTTTGGTCAAAGCACAGCCATTGCCATCATGGAAGTATTAGAAAAATTTTGAGGTCTTTTTGCAATCTCACTGTACAGACAAACTCTTCAATAAAATAAAACTCAAGTTTAATGTGAGTGAGAGTGTGAGTTATGTAAGTGGATGTGTGGTCTTCAACACTATCGACCACTCTATCCTCCTCCACCGCCTCTCCTCTCACCTCAACCTTCACGGCTCTGTTCTTGACTGGTTCAGATCGTACCTCTCACACCGCCTGCACTTCATCTCGGCTTCTCCTCCAGCCCCCGCACCGTCTCAGGGTTCTGTCCTTGGTCCCATCATCTTCAACATCTATATGCTCCCTCCGCTCAGTGGGCTCCAGCCTGCTTCAGGTCTCGCTCGCCCCATTATTGACGAGTGGGCCTTCTGCCACTCTGCCCCACCCTCTGGAACTCTATCCCACAGTCCCTCTGCCTTGCCCCCTCCCTTGCCTCTTTCAAGATCCATCTCAAGACCCTCCTCTTCAACCTTGCTTTCGATTTCCCTGCTTTATCCCCTGCCCTCCACCCTCCCCGACCCCGACCCCCAGCTTGTGTCTGAAACTCTGTCTGTCCAGCAACTTGGGACGTCCTCCTGACGCGAAAGGTGCTTTATAAATGTAATTTTGTTGTTGTTGTTTTGTATGGCTATTTTTTGCATTATATTCGGCAATAATCTGCTCAGTTGTTTTTAAATCTCCCGCCCCCAATTCAATGTTCTTCCCAAGTAATAATAATAATAATCCTTACACATGATATAGCCTTATCACATCTTATAGATGTTTCAAAGTGATCCACCAATCGACTAACAACCAGGTTCCTTCTTACTGCTGGGTGAACAGAGGTGTGTGGAGTAAGGAAAATTGCCCAATGTTTTGTCCTGCCCGGGAATCAAACCCAGGCCCTCTCACTTGTGAAGCGAGTGCTCTAACCAGTAAGCTACAGGACACCGAATAATAGAATATTTATGATCCAAAAATAGGCTATTTTGGCCATTGGATCCATGTTTGTGTAGCTCCCCATTACAGGCACTTACACTAATCCCAGCTCTTTCTTGGAGCTTCTTCTCAATTAATACAGCACCCTTCATGCAGCATAATGTCTCAGAGCATTTAACAGTGGCAAAGCTTGGCACCGAGCCAGGGAGAGAGGATAGATTACTCCAGACACGATGGAAGAGGAAGGTCTTCACCTGCGATATGAAGATGGACACGATGGAGGGAATGAGGGAGAGAGTTCCAGAGTTTGGGGGCATAATGGCTGAAAGCACGTTCGCCCAATAATGGAGCAGAGAGGACAAGGGATGTGCAGAATGCTGGAGCGAGCTGAGCGAAGGGAACGTTAGAAGGGTGGTGGGGGGGGGGGGGGGGGGGGTGTGAGCAGGTTGGAAAGGTTGAAAGGAGCCAGAGCATGAAGTGATTTGTATGTAGCATGAGGATCTTGAAATCAATCTACAACAGGGAGCCAATGGAGCCTGGCAAGGACTGGGGTGATGGGGGCGTGGAGTTTAGTATGGGTGACGATACGAATGGTGGAGTTTTGAATTAATTGGATTTTATGAGCCAGGGTACTGGGGAGCCAGGCAAAGGAGGGCAGGAGGTGATGAAAGTGTGGAATAACATCTGTCACCTATGTTGAAGTTTAAGTGTGCGAGGCAGGGAGGGGAGAGGGGAGGAGAGGGGAGGGGAGAAGGGAGGGGAGGGGAGAGGGGAAAGGGGAGGGATGGTATCACACCCAGTCTGACCCTGTCCTCATTTGATGCCTTTATGTGAGGAATTTCATAAGAGTCACTGGGTAACGATCTGAAGTGGATGATTATTTTCCTTTCCTTGCAGCTAAGAGCACTGAGGCCAAGTGCTGCTCTCCTGAAGCTCATCCCAGCTACGATAATCAGTATAAATCAGGGATTTGAGACTGGGACAGGATCCAATATCTCCACAGGAAAATCCCCTCACTAACTGAGTTATTATTGGCTTTTTGAACCATTCTTAAATGTAAGGGAAGAAATGGAAACTCCAGGGTGCTCTGCAAAGATAACGCTGCATGGAATCCAAAGTGCAATATAACCTGAGAGGAATCCTAGAACTGTAATACATTGAAAAGCGTTAAAGACTGAGGCTGCAGACGTAAGTGCGCTCACCGGGAATGATAAAGACTGGGTGGTATTAAACAATACAAATAGATTGAATTTTTTTTTTGCCCATGCAGGAAATCCATCACCATGAAGAGTCTCCAAACCAAGCTGAGAATTCCATGCATCCCACCTACACATGGAAATCCTAGAGATGGATTGTTGGAATGGAATGCTCTCTCTCTCTCTCTCTCTCCCTCCCTCCCTGGAGGGACACATCCTGTTTACCTAATTCCGGAAAGTATTAGGCACAGGTTGGTAAGAGCCAAGGATTGGGGGCCCAGAGTATGCGTTGGGGTAACTGCTGGAGTCTAACCAGCCAAACCACACAGCTTGCTATTGATATCGCTGTCTGGCCAGCTTTTCCACTACTTGTCCAGCGAGGACCACCCTCCCCAGTAAGGCTTTAGCTGCGGGATTAACAGGAGCTGAGTGGGAGGATTCCCTGCCCCCAGTGACTGGTCGGCCCTTCCAGGTCCTGCCAATGAGCCAGGGTGGGCTGTGCTGTCATCAGCAGTGAGTGCCCTGGAATACTGCGGACCGGCCTGGCTCAAGAACTGGACTAAAGACCGTCACAGAGGGGGGGCTCGATTCTGACATTCCATTGCCAACCATGTTACCTTGGATCAATGTTGTTCAGCTCCACTCTACTTCCCTCCCCTCTCCCCCCACCACACCCACCACCCTATGAGGATATGATTGTATTATAAAATATGAGGCAATTTCAAAATGCAGGAATAATTCATAATACAACATTTTTCATCCTATCGTTTGAGAATGCAAATTCGAAAATCTAGGTGGAGAAGCTTGACTTTTCTGTAAGCTAAATAACAACAAGATTACATTTGTATAGCACCTTTCATGTCGGGAGGATGTCCCAAGGCACTGGACAGTGTACAGCATTTCAGACCTGAGCTGCGGTCAGGGGGGGAGAAGGGAGGGGAGGGGAAGGGGCGTGGCCGATGGCTTGGTCGAAGAGGAGGGTCTTGAGATGGGACTTGAAGGAGGCTAAGGAGTGATTGGGGCATGGAATTCCAGAGGTTGGGGGCAGAGTGGCTGAAGGCTCTCCTTCTAATGGTGGGATGGATGGATCAGGGGACGTGGAGTAGGCCAGAGCCGGCTGAGTGGAGGGAGCGAGGAGGTTGGTAGGGGTTTTGGAGGTGGCAGAGGTAGGGTGGGGCGAGGCCATGGAGGGCTTTCTAGGTGAGGACCAGGATTTTGAACGGGATCTTCTGAAGGATAGGGAGGCAATGGAGTCGGGCAAGAATGGGGGAGATGGGGTCATGGAGTTTGGTGCGGGAGAGGACACGGGCTGCAAAGTTCTGGATTATCTGCAGCTGTGGAGGGAGGAGTTGGGAAGGCCGACACGCAGGGCGTTTGCAGTCAAGCCTGGAGGTGATGAAGGCATGAACAAGAGTTTCAGCGCCTGAGGGGTGAGGTAGTGGCGGAGTCGGGCGATGTTACGGAGGTGAGGGAAGGCAGAGCGGGTCATGGCTTAGATGTGGGGAAGAAAAGACAGTTGAGGGATCATTGATCAGCTCAACAACAACAACAACAAGATTCCATTTATAGAGCGCCTTTCACGTCGGGAGGACGTCCCAAGGCGCTGGACAATTGGGTCAGGACCCGAGCAGGGGGGAAATGGTCAGGGTGAGGGGAGGGAAGGGAGGGAGCAAGGAGAGGGTAGAGAGTCGAGAGGGGAGGTGAAGGCATGGTCGAAGAGAAAGGTCTTGAGACCGGCCTTGAAGGAGGAAAGGGAGGAAGCGGCGAAGGCACTGGGGGATGGAGTTCCAGAGCCTCGGGGCTGAGAAGCTGAAGGCCCGGCCACCGATGGTAGGGTGGTTGGGGCAGGGGATGTGGAGCAGACCGGAGCCAGAGGAATGGAAGGTACGGACAGGTAGGTAGGGGGATAGTAGGTCGGAGAGGTAGGAGGGTGTGAGGCCGTGAATGGCCTTGTAGGTGAGGATGAGGATCTTGAATTCTGGGGGATGGGGAGCAGTGGAGGCGGGCGAGGGTGAGGGCGAGGGCGAGGGTGGGGGTGAGGGTGAGGGCGAGGATGGGGGTGAGGGTGAGGGCGAGGGTGGGGGTGAGGGTGGGAGTGATGTGGGCGCGAAGCCTGGTGCGAGACAGTACACGAGCTGCAGAGTTCTGAATGACCTGCAGTGTGGAGGGAGGGCCGGGAAGGCCGGCGAGGAGAGAGTTCCCATAGTCCAGCCTTGAGGTGATAAAGGCGTGGACCAGAGTTTCAGCCGCGTGAGGGGTGAGGTAGTGCCGTAGTCTGGCGATGTTCCGGAGGTGGTGGAAGGCGGTGCCAGTTATGGCGCGGATGTGGGGAAGAAAGGACAGCTCAGGGTCGAACAGAACGCCGAGGTTCCTGATGGCTTTGAGAGGTGGAGAGTGCGGCCTTGGATGCTGATGCTGTCAGCGCCTGAGGTGCGGAGGCGCTGACGTGAGCCAATCAGGAGGGCCTCAGTTTTGCGCACGTTGAGCTGAAGAAAGTTGTCTCTCGTCCAGGACTCGATGTCGGACAGGCAGCTGTCAGGACATCGGGGGTCGTGGAGTTGAGGGTAGAGGAGGAAAGGTAGAGTTGGGTGTCATCCGCATACATGTGGACATTAATCCCATGTCTGCGGATGATGTCACCACAGGGGGAGCATATAGAGGGTGAAGATGAGGGGACCGAGGACAGAGCCCTGAGGGACACCGCACGAGACAGTGCGGGGGGTGGAGGAAAAGCCGTTTGTGGAAACAAAATGAAGACGGTGGGAGAGGTACGACCTAAACCACTCAAGAACAGGGCCTTGAAGGTTGAGGTGGGAGGACAAGCGGTGGAGGAGGATAGCGTGGTCGACCGTATCGAATGCTGCTGATAGGTCGAGGAGGACGAGGAGGCAGAGGGAGCCCTGGTCGCAGATGGTCAA